AGGTGGGAAGGCTTGCTGCTAAAAAGATTAACCATGAATATCATGATAGTTTGTATACAGAATACTACAGATGGAATCAGTGGGCTTTTCTGGGCAAAGAATGATTCAGCCATTTAAAATCACCATTCAAGGACCCAAATCTCATTTGGAACTGTTTAACTAAGTTCAGTTAGCAAGTTGCTCCAAGCCCCACATGACTAGCCTGCCTTATTTTGTCAAACATTACTCTAAGAGGGCCAGAGAACACCATTTTAAACAAACTATGCCCAGTTATTTCCAAATGGCAAAGTAGTCCAAAGCACCGTTTTATTAACTAAATATAAAAGGTAAAAATTTCTGGTTTTCAGAAGAATGAGTACAGATGTTAAAGGTATTGTTCCATTGCTTGCCCCTTTCTCTGCCTGGAAACCACACTGCAAAACCCAATATACGGTGGATGAAAACAGTATACAATAGATGAAAATGACTTCGTAGATGGGAGGAAGGTCAAACCCCAGTGCCTGCAGAGGGAACACAGATGAGGAAAAAGAAGTTGACTCACCTCTTAAAACCCCACTCTGAGGGAAAACCATTACCACCTAAGAATTATTTACCAAGCCAAATGTCAGTGGTGATGGGAGAATAAAAACATTTTTTAGACAAAATACTTGGAGATTGTATTGCTTCTCATGAAGCTACTGGAGGATATCCTCCATCAAAATATCGGTGTAAAGCAGAAAACAGGGATTCCAATAGAGAAGAGAAGCAGAGGGGTTTCCAGGACCTGGGAGAGAAGAGAAGTCGCAGGATGAAAGCTATGCAGCAGATATTACCAGTGAGCAGTCCACACTGGAGAGGGGAAACTGGAGGGCTTAGGAGGGAAGTGTCCAGAAAAACACTGAAACCAGTCTATTACCCGAACAGGTTCATCCTGGAGAAAAATTATATTGTGATACCTTTCTCAAAGATGTCAGGAAGGGGCTTCCCTGGTGGCACAGTTGTTGAGAATCTGCCTGCTAATGCTAGGGGACACGGGTTTGAGCCCTGGTCTGGGAAGATCCCACATGCCACGGCGCAACTAGGCCTGTGAGCCACAACTACTGAGCCTGCGCGTCTGAAGCCTGTGCTCTGCAACAAGAGAGGCCGCAATAGTGAGAGGCCTGTGCACCGCGATGAAGAGTGGCCCCCGCTTGCCACAACTAGAGGAAGCCCTCGCACACAAACGAATACCCAACACAGCCAAAAATAAATAAATTTTTAAAAAAATGTCAGGAAGTAGTGGGAGATGTAGACATAGGTTCAAACATTTGAACGTAAATTTTAAAAACTAACAAAAATTCAAAAAAAACAAAAAGGTTTGCAGAAAGGAAATGCAATCACTGCAAATAACTTGGAAGAGCAGAGAACATTTCCACAGTCATCACGGTGAAAACCCTGAAGAGAGATTTAAGTCACTTATTAGGAAGATTTGGAGAGGAAAGGAGACAGAATCTCAGACTGCCAAGATGACCATGTACCATAAGAGGAAATCAGTAGGTGTCTAGAATGGATGAATCAAGAGAATGCAGGGCACACATACATACTAATGGAGAAGGCAAATACCAAAGTAAACTGCTGAAAGGGTGCAAAATGATTGTTTCTGGGGAGAGACTGAGAGAGAGATTCAGGAGACTGATGCTTTTTCATCTAAATCTTTTAGTATTATTTGACTTTTTAAACTATGTACACAAATTACTTTGCTACAAAATGGAAATTATTTTAAATGCCAACAATCCATATAAAAAGTCTTTCTTACATTAAAAAAAGTCCCTTCTTAATGACTACATCTGAATTCATAGAAAACCAGCATGAATATTAAAAACATGCATTTTCTTGGAAAAAAGGTAGATAACATAATCTGTATAGCTTTAACTACTGTTTAAATTATCTTGAGATTAAATGTGATAACTTAGCAAATTAAACACTGATAGCCAAAAAACCCACCTCATTTCCTATTCATGGCTTCAGCAAGCTACATTTCCTATTTCTGACTTGACTTTCTAATTAAAAAAAAAAAAAACCTAATAACATATTGACAAAATGTCATTCTTAGAAATATCACTCAAGGGAAATCAAAAAATGTTTTATGGTGAATATTAATTCATCTGGTCCTAAGAATGAGTCCTAGAAACCTTTTCAAAACATACCTGTCTATCCAGAGCAAACGCTGGTTGGTCCTTCTGCCAAGTCAGTCACGTATGGCTGTGTGTGAGGAAGTCTTCTTGATGCCCCGACACAGAAATGCCCACTAGGGTACAGGTCTCCACCAAGGCGTTCTTCCTGCACAGGTGACAGGCGCCAGCCTTGCCAGAAACAATACCACCTGTGCAGTCATCTCTCTACTTGCTGGTTCTCCTGCTGGAGTGTAAGCCCCTTGAGGGCTACAGCCATATCTTATTCACCTTCGTTGCTCCAAGTGAGCAACAAAGCCTGATATCCAACAGTTTCCAGATAAATATTTGATGAATCAATGTACAAAGTAGTGAGGGAATCAGTATCAGACTCTTGTTCAACCTCCTTTGAAAAGGAGATCTATATTTTTCAAATGGAAAAGGATAAAATGCTATGTGTAATTACTAGTGAATCTTTGCATAGCACTTGAAGAGGATACTTACTGAAAAAGTCAATTGCCTGCCCTTTGTGCTTCTGTCATATCTGCAAAAAAAGGTCAATGAAAAATAGCTTCACACTTCATTTACTTTTCACAATGTATTAATTCCTTTTTAAAATAAACATGATATTTATGAATCATTACTTCCACAGCCCAGAAAAATAATATGAATTTACCACCAGGTATCAGAACTCCAGCACTCACAGAAAAAAGAAGTGATTATTATAGTGAGAATGATGATTTTAAGGCACATGCATCCACCACATTCTATAGCAAAAACCGTATACCTTAGCTTTAGAAATGCATGTCTTGAGGAATCAGATATATTACATACACAATATAGAGTTACATCTAGTCAAATACAGGCACATTTTGCATTGCAATAGGTGCATGAATCAGAATACAATCTCTAAATGGTGTGACCACATCACAAATAAATTTCCAACAATAAATAGTACCAAAGATGTAACTTGCACTGTGGGAAGTGCAGGCATTAAAATCACCTAGAGAACTTTTTCAAACCATATTCCTCCTTCCCAATTTCTCCCTGTCTTTGAGCTTTTATCCCCCTTCAACCCTCAACTAGGAGGGCATGGCCTCCCAGTTGAGAATCACTTCTATACTGAGCCACAATTAGTGACTGGAATAGGTCCTATACTTCCTGTATGCTGTGGGGAAAGCAATGCACATATAAGGATTCCTTAAGTTTTTCAAGCATGGCTCAGTTTAGTGATGGTAAATACATCCAAACTGATAAACCAACTTGACCAGTTGGTTGTGGCTGCCTGAAGTAAGAGTTGAGAAAGATTTTAAGACCCTTTTTGGTCTCAAAAACAGAAGTAATGATTAGTAACCTCTGCTGAAGTAGAGGCTGGTGGGGGTCACAGCATGCAGGGGATGGATGCCATCTACTCTTCTAGATGCTCTACATCAGCTTAATAAGTTCTTTTAAGTAGAAGTCAGATTATAGGCTCTATAACAGCGAGTGCTTTGGATTTCTTAAAGAAGCAATGTACCCTGGAAGGTGACATGGCAGAAATAGAAAAATGCATGCTTTTAATCTGGGCCCAGCCAATAACGAGGTATGTGATCTAAAGGTCTCCAGGCCCGTTTCCTCATCTTAACACAAGAGCTCCTCACTGGCAAGATGACCCATAAGATCTCTATCAAAAAGCCTAAAATTCCTTTTCTGCTTCTTTTTCTAATTAGCTTCTAACCCATAAGAGCTGGAGTGTTCTGAACCTTACATGTAAAGCCTCATCAACTCATGAAAATCATAGCAATCAACGAAGGCTCATTTTCTAATTTTTATATTTTAAGCATAACTATAGGTCTTAATTTAAATATGTAGGGTGTGCACTGCATTTTATAGAGATGGTAATGGTAGGTACTGACTTGGCTTGACATTTTAAAGAAAATCTCTCCCTTCCCCCAGGACCAAATGTATTATAAAGATGTTTATCCAGCTTTATCTGTAATGGAAATAACCCAAATATTCAACAGCACAGATTTGATAAATTATACTACATGTTGTTGATAGGCTACGATACAACTACAGGAAATTACATTTAGGAATATTTAATTACATGGAAAAATATGGGAAGTATTTTCAGGGTTTAAATCCTTAGTTATAAAAGCTATATGTGTGTGTGCTTGCATAGAAGAAAAGATAAGAATGTTAATAGTTGTTATTCTGAGTTGTGGATTAACTCAATATTTCCAAGACCCAAGCAAGTGAATAAAGTGGAAGCGGGGTAAGACAGTAAGGAGTGATGGGGACTGTGGAAAACTGAAACATACATGACCTTTCAATAGCATTCAATCTATTTTTTTACATTACGAAAGCCAAAAACCAATTTGTCAGTTTATGGTCCCTGAATTTGGCTATTATTTTCTTCCTTGTGTTTTTGTATGTTGCAAATTTTCTACAGTAACTATGTAATACTTCTGTAAGAAGAGTTATTTAAAAACTTGAAGGTAGCCACACTGGTAAAATTTAGAAAAAGACCTATATACTTCACTGATGGAAGAATATTTTGGCAATATTATTTTAGCCAGCAGGCAATGGGGAGTGGTTTTGAAAATTTTGTAGTATTAATAATGAAAATATGAGTCTCACAAGTTATAAACCAAAGGCAGCCAAAAATCAACCTCTTTTTTTTTTTTTGAGATGCATAAAGTAAGTTTATCCCAAAGTCATACAGTAGAAGGGTTGAGGTGCCCAAAAGGGATTGTGACACAATGCTGACAGGAGAAGTTTGGCCAGTGCTTTCTAAGGGGCATATATTAAGTATGGAAGGCAAGCAGTCTTGGTACCCAAAGTACATGCATTCAGGGGATGAAAGCCAAACAAAATCTTACCTGAATGGGTAGGAGAGGCTACATAGCTGGGGAAACTTCACTCATAGCTGGGGAGAGAAGTCAGACATGAGACATTAGCCAGACAAGCCAGGTCCTGGATGTTGTTAAGGCTAATGTCAGTAAAGTGAAGATAGGACAGCCAGCAGTTGAGCTGGGGATGGGGACAACAGCCAGGATGATTCAGGACCAAGATGAGCTGTGCTACCCAAAGCCACTTTTCAAGAGCTGCTTTTAGAGATGTCTCTGATCCATCTTGCTCACACAGGAATGAAAGGTGATCCTGTGAGTGCCTACAAGGTGCTCAGTGCTTTATCCACCTTGACATCCAAGTGAGACAGACAGTATTATCCCAACTTTATAACTGTACACACAGGTTAACTAAACTAGTAAAAAGGTGGTAAACAAACCCAAGTCCAATTGACTTCAAAGCTTGTGCAGGAGGCATGCCCTTCCTGGGTCTTCAATCCAATCTTCAAGCCTGATGTTAGGCTCACTGACCTTCTCAGAGTGGCTCGCACAGGCAAACTGGAGCACTGGGACCAAAGGAATCCTTGTAAGTGCTGGGGTGTTAATCACAAACCCTTTAAGCCAGGTCAGAGTCAGAACAGTTTAGTGTTTTCCTCACTTCTCCCATATCGCCATTCTAATAGAAACTTCCAGGTATAGAAAGGTGCACTCAGAGACTTAGAAAGCTACACCAATAACCAACAATCCCTAATTCATAAGAGAGTATGCAGCTAAGCAGCCAAACATAATACATATCAGCTGACTGGGAAGAAAAATTAGAGCTGCTTAGTTTTCAGTTATTAGTTGCTTTGATGTGCATATTCTTGAAAAGGGCTGACTTATAAAGATAAACATTAAGTTCACAATTTGTAGTTCACTCCGTCTTCAAATAAAATAGTGGCTCATCGTTATCAAATAAAAACATTATTTCCTGCCACATTTAGAGAATAGACATTGGTGACTATGATGAGGTCCACAAACCTTTAGAACTTCACTGACTCTTTTTTCTACCCCAACTCATGGAGGCAGTAAGAGCTAACGTGTTATGTGGTCCCTCTCTCTGCATCTTATTTCCACAGGAAACATCAATCCTTCCGAAACACAGTCTTCATCTATGCAGAGGTCACTTAGTTGCTGAATTCACAAAGAAGGCTCAAAAGAAAACAAGAAAGATGAAATAAATGATAAGTCTTACCTATGAAAATTTAAGTATCTAACTCAGGTGAATCATTAAAACTCTCACACATTGTTTATTTATCCTTATTTCATCCATAATTCTAATATGCTTCCTATCTGGTTTCCACTTCCCAGAAAGTCAAAAGAAAAAAAAATTAACAAATTAGATAGGGTAATGTATTTATGGAAATAGGTAAGTAGCTATAAAGTAGCAGCTGTCAAGGGGAAAACTGCAAAATACAGGTAGAACTAGAACTAGAAAACAGCCATGTGTAACACTGTAGAAAAGCTCCCAACCCTCTGACTTCAGTAGAACCCTAAGACTCTGACAGAGGTGATTCAAGATGGCAGCATAGGAAGAGGCTGAACTTACCTCCTCCCACAAACATGACAAATACAAAACTACATTTGGATCAATTCCGTCTGAATAGAACCTGAGAACTAACTGAATACTTGCTCCACAAGAAAAGATAAAAGGAGATCAAGATGGGTAGGAGTGGCAGAGAAACACTCTTGCCAAAAATCCCACCCACACCTGGTGGCACACAATAAGGAGGGATTTCACCAGGCAGGTGTTTCTCCTGGAGGAGTGTGGGGTTGGTGCCCCACATCAGGCACCCCATCCCCTAGGATCTATACCAAAGAGACCAGCCTCAAAAATGTCTGGCTTAGGGCTTCCCTGGTGGTGCAGTGGTTGAGAGTCCGCCTGCCGATGCAGGGGACACGCGTTCGTGCCCCGGTCTGGGAAGATCCCACATGCCACAGAGCAGCTGGCCCGTGAGCCATGGCCGCTGAGCCTGCACGTCCAGAGCCTGTGCTCCGCAACAGGAGAGGCCACAACAGTGAGAGGCCCGTGTACAGCAAAAATAAATAAATAAAAAATAAATAAATTAGGCAGTATAGACAACCACAAAGACCCAAGAGACAACCAAGAGCTAGTGCAGGGTTGAATAAGAAGAATCAGCATCTATACGAGGCCACTCCTTCAAGACTGAGAGAAGTAGTTTTGCCTAATACATAGAAAAAATACGGAGAGCCAAGAAGAGTGAGGAAACAGAGAAATATGTTCCAACTGGAAGAACAAGACAAGACCTCAGAAAAAGATCTTAATGATACAGAAATAAGTAATCTACCTGATAAAAAATTAAAAGTAATGGTCAGAAATATGCTCAGTGAATTCAAGACAATGAATGAACACAGTGAGAACTTCAACAGTTAGAAAATATAAGAGGGAACCACTCAGACTTGAAGAATACCATAACTGAAATTAAAACTACACAGATCAGCAGAAGAAAAAGAACAGCGAAAAGAAAAAACGAATTAAAAAAAAAATGAGAATAGCTTAAGGGGCTCTAGAACAACATCGAGTGTGCTAACGTTCACATTATAGGGGTTCCAGAAGGAGAAAAGAGAATGGGGCAGAAAATTTATTTGAAGAAATGATGGCTGAAAACTTCCCTAGCATGGGGAAGAAAAGAGACATCCAGATCCAGGAAGGACAGAGTCCCAAAGAGGATGAACCCAAAGAGGTCCACACCAAGACACATTATAATTAAAATGTCAAAAATTAAAGAGAGAATTTTAAAAGCAGGAAGAAGAAAACATCTAATTACATATAAGAGAACCCCCACAAGACTATCAGCAGAAATTTTGCAGGCCAGAAAGGAGTGGCATGCCATATTCAAAACGCTGAAAGGAAAAAACTTACAACCAAGGACACTCTGACAAGGGTGTCATTCCAAATATAAAGAGAGATAAAGAGTTTTGCAGATAAGCAAAAATTAAAGGAAGTCATCACTACTAAACTGGCCTTATAAGAAATGTTAAAGGGAATTCTTTAAGCAGAAAAGACCATAAATAGAAATAAGAAAATAGTAATATATGAAAAACATAAATCTCACTGGTAAAGGCAATATACAGTAAAAGTAGCGAATTAACCACTTACAAAGCTAGTATGAAGATAAAAAGACAAAAGTAGTAAATCAACTATAACTACAATAAGTAATAAATGAATAAGCACCAAAAAGATGTAAAATATGATGTAAAAAACATAAACCTTGGGGGGGATGTGGTGTTTTAATTTTTATAAGTTTATTTATTTTTGGCTGCATTGAGTCTTCGTTGGTGTGCACGGGCTTTCTCTACTTGCGGTGAGCGGGGGGCTACTCTTCGTTGAGGTGCGCAGGCTTCTCATTGCAGTGGCTTCTCGTGTTGTGGAGCATGGGCTCTAGGCACACAGGCTCAGTAGTTGTGTCTCGCGGGCTCTAGAGCATATGCTCAGTAATTGTGGCCCACGGGCTTAGCTGTCCCGTGGCATGTGGGATCTTCCTGGACCAGGGATTGAACCCATGTCCCCTGCAGTGGCAGGTGGATTCTTAACCACTATGCCACCAGGGAAGTCCCTAGTGTTTTAAACTGTGCTCAGACTTAAGCAACTATCCACTTAAAATAGATTGCTTTATATATAGACTGTTATATATGAACCTCATGGTAACTACAAACCAAAATTTGTAATAGATATATCAAAAAATAAAGAGAAAGGAATCCAAACATAACATTAAAGAAAATCATTAAACCACAAGGAAAAAGAATAGGAAAAGAAAATAGGAACAGAGAATTACAAAAAACCCAGAAAACAATTGACCAAATGGCAGTAAGTTCCTAATTATTAACAATTACTTTAAATGTAAATTAACTAAATGCTCCAATCAAAAGACATAGGGTGAGTGAATGGATTAAAAAAAAAGACCTATCTATATGCTGCCTACAAGATACTCACGTCAGATCTAAGGACATAAACAGGATGAGAATGAAGGGATCGAAAAAGGTATTCCATGCAGATGAAAACAAAAAGAAAGCTTGGGTAGCAAAACTTATATCAGATGAAACAGACTTTAACCAAAACTGTAACAAAAGACAAAGAAGGACAATACATTATGATAAAGGGGTCAACCCAACAAGAGGATATGACATTTGAAAATATTTATGCATTCAACAGAGGAGCACCTAGATACATAAAGCAAATATTAGCAAACATAAAGGGAGGAATTGACAGTAATACAATAATAGTAGGGGACTTTAATACCACACTTACATCAATGACTAGATCACCCAGACAGAAAATTAATAAGGAAATGTTGACCTTAAATGACACATTAGACCAGATGAACTTAAGAGATATACACAAAACATCCCATCTAAAAACTGCAGAACACACATTCTTTTCAAGTACATATGAAACATTCTCCAGGACAGATCACATGTTACGCCACAAAGCAATTCTCAATAAATTTAATAAGACTGAAATCATCATCAAGCATCTTTTCCAACTACAACAGTATGAAACTAGAAATCAATTACAAAAAGAAAACTGGAAAAAACACAAATACGTGGAGACTAAACAACATGCTACTAAACAATCAGCCAATGAAGAAATCAAAGAGGAAATCAAAATATATCTTGAACAAATAAAAATGGAAACACAACTTTCCCAAATCTGTGGAATGTAGCAAAAGCTCTAAGAGGGAAGTTCAGAGAGGCAAGACTATGTGAATAAGAAAATTTACACCTGAAACTAACACAATATTGTACATCAACTATACCTTAATAAATTTAAAAAAAATTAAAGAAATAAGAAAATTTACAAATTAACTTTACCCCTAAAGAAACTAGAAAAAGAAGAACAAACAAAGCTTAAAGTTAGTAGAAGGAAGGAACCAATAAAGATCAGAACAAAAATAACTGAAATAGAGACTAGAAAAATAAAAAACAATAGAAAAGATCAATGAAAGTAAGAGCGGTTCTTTGAAAAGATAAACAAAATTGATAAATCATTAACCAGACTCATAAGGGTGTGTGTGTGGGGGGGTGGAGTGGAGAGAGAAAGAGAAGCCAAATAAAGTCAGAAATGAAAGAGAAGTTACAACTGATACCATAGAAATGCCAAGGATAAGAAATTACTATGAACAATCATATGCCGAAAAATCAGACAACCTAGAACAAATGGCTAAATTCCTAGAAACACACAATCTTCCAAAACTGAATCATGAAGAAAGATAAAATATGAATAGATTAATTACTAGTGAAATTGAAACAGGAATTTAAAAACTCCCATGGGAATTCTACCAAAATTTTTTGAAGTTAATACTTATCCTTCTCAAACTGTTCCCAAAAGTTGAAAAGGAAGGAACACTTCCAAACTCATTTTACGAAGCCAGCATTACCCTGATACCAAAACCAGACAAGAAAAAAAAAAAAAAGGCAAACCAACGTCATCAACAATACATTGAAGGATCATACATCATGACGAAGCATAATGAAATAGGATTTATTCCAGGAATGCAAAGAGGGTTCAATACCTGCAAATCCATCAGTGTGATATACCACATTAACATTAACAAAAACAAAGGATAAAAATCATGATCAATTCAACAGATGCAGAAAAAAACATCTGACAACATTCAATATCCATTCTTGATAAAAACTTAGTAACGTGGGTATAGGGAATGTACCTCAACATAATAAAAACTATATATGACAAATACACAGCTAACATCATACTCACTGGGGAAAAGTTAAAAGCTTTTCCTCTAAGATCAGGAACAAGACAAAGATGCCCACTCTCACTACTTTCATTCAATGCAGTATTGAACGCCATAGCCACAGCAAGCTGACAAAAAAAGAAATAAAAGGAATCCAAACTGGAAAAGAAGTAAAAATGTCACTGCTTGCAGATGACATGATACTATATACAGAAAATCCAACACACCATGAAAAAACTACTGGAATACATAAATTTAGTAAAATTGCAGGATACAAACTTTATAGAAATCAGTTGCATTTCTATATACCAAAAACAAGCTATCAGAAAGTTAAGAAAACAGTCTCATTTATAATTGCATGAAAAGAGAATAAAACACCTAGGAATAAATTTAACCAATG